CCTTGGATGCAGTTGCTATAGGTAGAAAGAATTGATTTAAATGTTTTGAAGGGTCATAATGTTCTAACCTACATACAGATTTTGAATGTGATTACTTTTTTAGTTGCTTGTTAGTTAGTTGCCACAACCCTATCAGGAGGAGTGTGTCCTGCATGTCAATGACTTAACGCATTTAGCCGGTTTTCCTTAGATAGAAACTTTTTTCCCAAACTGATCGAACGATCTGAATCAATTGTCTCTGTAAATTGTCTTGAGCTGATGTATTGTGAATTGGTGCTATATAAATAAACTTAACTGTATTAAAATATATGTATATGTGGCATGATAACTGATGAGTTTTTTCATCAAGAAAAGAGAGATATAAAGCAACATTTGTTTCAAGATGACAGATATCTTTCTAATTTGTATGCTCAAACTTAAAGAGCAGTTATAAGTTTTATTTGTTTCAGGGTTTTTTTTTTTAAGCTTGTGAAATGACCACACCCACAAAGTGCTAAAGGCTGAGCCTCCTTTTCAGTTTCAGTGGCTTTGTTTCACTGGAGGAGATTAACTCTGAAACACTTTCTTTCTTATGGCTTTAATCCTACATGTAAAATATTCCTGAAAACACTGGAGTTTATTGCATAGGATGTGATACAGCTGCGGTGAGTTGTTTTTGAAGGGATCTGGTTATTTCTGTTGCTTTAAAATCATTATAACCGATGTAACAAAATAATAAAATGTTTTACCCCATTCCGGTGGATATGACTCACTGGGCGTGCCAGAGTTAGATTCCTTGTTTGCCTTTAGGCAGATTCCAAACATTTAACTGACTTTGTATCTATTACTTTATGTTCTGCTATGTAACTGTGTATCATGGAGGACTGTCTAGTCTTAAATTAAAACACACTCTGCATTTTTAAATACCAAATACTTAAAAACAAAAGCTGTTAACCATGTATCTAATTCAAAGATCACACCGGGTCAAAAACACATTGCAAAATAATTTGTCAGTTACCAATTTATTATTTTAATATCAAACTAATTACCATTTTCTAAAATTTGCAGTAATAAAAAATTTAATTCAGTGAAGTTTATTTGTAGTTATTTCTGGGTCTTTCTTAAACTTACAGCAGATTTTCTATTATGAGTTGAAACATGCACTTTTATGCATGACTGTAAAGTTGCAAAGAAAATAATTGCTGCATAGGTCATTGATTGATGTGTGAAAAGTTACCAGTTTAGCTTCTTTTCCAGTTAACGGAAGTGGTTAGTTTTTATATACAATTCTGACATTAGACATAACTTTTTCATTCACTCTTTATACACCACTCAGCGCTAAGTTTAATTAGGGACCATTTTTCTTCATCCTGCCTTATTCTATCTCTATTTGCCCACTCTGCAGTATTTGTTAATTCAATCTCTATCTCGATCTCATCTGGTCTCTTCCTATTTAGCTGTGACTCAATCCTGGAGAGAAATATCAGCTGTGCTGCTGCCATCAAGACCTTTGTTTATGGATATTGGAGATTGGCCTTTTTTTCAGTGTAGTCCTGTTACTCTGACTGTGACTAACAAGATGTTCTCTTTTCATGTTCTGTCATGGGGGTTGGGTCGTCTCTCACCTGCCTGGTTATGAATTTACTGGACGCTGCCGCCTGTGGAGCTTTTGACAGTTACCTTTTGTATCTCTGCTTCTTTCTGTATCTCTGCTTGTGTTTCCTTGAACCCCAGTCGGCCTCGGCAGATGGCTGCCCACTCTAAGCCTGGTTCTGTTGGAAGTTTCTAACTGTTAAAAGGGAGTTTTCCTCTCCACTGTCGCTACAAGCATGCTTGGTGTGAGGTATTGATTTTGAGTCAATGACTCAAAGTAATCAGCTGGTTATTCTTGGATAGAAAACCTTGAGCCAATCTGACTGTATTATCTCCCTGAATTGTCTCCATAAAGTGCCCTGAGATGAGGTGTTTGAGAACTTGCATTATATGAATAAACTGAATTGAATTTAAATGAATTATTGTGCAACTCGTGAAATAATCTTCAGCATCCTTTTCCACACATATTTCCTTTTTCTGCTGTTTATTTGTAGTGGATAGAAGTTACCATATATATATATATATATATATATATATATATATATATATATATATATATATATACATACCTGAAAACATTTCTTTTTTTTTAACTATTGAGCTTATCTTCAATGATCAGGCAAACATATTGACCAGCCTTATTCTAGTTCTGGTGTCTTTTTTTCACCTGCTGACCTACTGAAGGTATGTTTTTTTCTGGCTTTCACTCCAATTGCTTAAAGTTGCTGCCACTATTGTTGATTAAGGTTTGATATGACCATTGCCCATTACATTTTTAACAATTTTTTAGGGAGAACTGAGGAGCTCTGACTAACAGAGCAATGTTATGGCTCCTCTTGGTCATGCTACAGATAATGCATATTCTGTAAAAAAGTTGGTAATAACAATTTCTTTTCCCTCCTTCAGAGATCATATAATGTCTACTAACAGCATCCTGGACACATTACCAGAGGAACATTTCCGTTGTTCTATCTGTCTGGACCTCTTCACAGAGCCAGTCACCACACCGTGTGGTCATAACTTCTGTAGGACCTGCCTCACTCAGCAATGCAGCGACGGCGAGTTTTATCAGTGTCCAAAGTGTAACAAACGATTCTTTATGAAACCAGAGTTTTCCACAAATGAAGTAATTGCAGAAATGTCAGTCCAAATAAAGAGAAGAAAAATTGAAGCACTTGAAAGTGTCAACAAACCGTGGAAGGTGAAATGTGACGTGTGCACAGATGTAAAGTTCAAGGCCTCCAAATCGTGCCTTGTGTGTCTGACTTCATACTGCGATGGACACCTGGAGCCTCACCAGCGGGTCCCTGGCCTGATGAGACACAAGTTAGTAGACCCTGTGGAGAACCTGGAGGAGAAGGTTTGTGAAAAGCATGCAAGGATGCTGGAGTTTTTCTGCAGAAAGGAACGAGTGTGTATTTGTCTGCTGTGCTGTGAAGTGGAACACAGAGACCATGAGACAGTTCCTGTTGAAGAGGAAGGGGAACTGCAGAAAGTGAGATAATTTATATTGTGCACTTTGACTTCACAATGTTGTCAAACCACAGAGCTTGATAATATGCATTTTGTTCAGTTATATTGATTATCTTACAATTGTTTATTCCAGGAAAACATTGAATCCAACCAAGCAAAAATCAAGCTGATGATTAATAAAAGACTGGAAAAGATAGAGGAATTTCAAAAATCCTCAAAAATGAGCAAAGTGAGCTTTTAAAAAAGCATTATTTGAGGAAAATTGCTTAAATCTGTGGTAATAACAAAACTATCTTTCAATAGGTGAACGCAGACAATGAAACTGAGGATGCAGAGAAACTTTTTAGCAATCTGGTGTTTAGAGTGCAAGATGTTCAAAGGACAGTGAAAGAATATATTGATAAAAAACTTCAAAAATCCAATGTAAAAGTACAAGGGTTGATTGAGAAGCTAGAAGAGGAGGTTGCATCTTTGAAGACGAGACACGACAAGCTAGAGGAGCTTTCACAAAATGAAGATCACCTTCAACTTGTGCAGGTAAGTGAGTCTGCAAAGCGTTACACCTTCTCCTACAGCAAATTATTTAGGAATGATTTGATAAATGTCAACTGAAAGATTTACAGTAGGCCCAAGGAGGCACATAATGATCAGGGAAGGTTCCTGTAGAAAGTGTTGGCAAAAGGGAATGACATTCAGCACAGTTCTTTGAGCTCACTGGGTACCTGCCTCCCATTTCAAATTTTTACCAAATCGCAGCAGCAGTTGCAGCTTGATTTTGTTTCAAAACTAGTGGAGTTAACTGATAAATCAAACTTTCACCAAATCTGATTGGGGGGAGATGCGCAACCATCTTCGGAACCAAAAGGTAAAAATAGGCATTGTCTGTATCCGAATGTCCACCCTGATCACTATATAGGGCACTATATATATTGATTAAGCCATTTTATGTGAGTGTCCAAACATCCAGTGGAAGAAAAAGTAGAGGACTCGAAATTTCACAAAATGCACCTTGAAAAGTAGTGATCATCCATGGTCACTAGACAAGCAGATATATCCCAGAATGCATTTGCATGCATGCTTAGCGAGGAAAGCTCTCCTCCAGTATGGGATTTGTTTTCACAGCGGCCCGCTGTCACTACCCGACAGCAGCGACAAATAACAAAAATGGTGCAGGCACAGTGCTTGGGGCAGATTTACGTCACTAACAGGGAGTGAAAAACAAAAATCTGTCTTAACGGTCAGTTAACTGTGTTCACCATAAAGTCCACTATATAGCTCCTGCTCTATATATTGATTGAGGGATCCAGGTGTTAGGGCGGATGTTCAGACACAACCATAATTTTCTTGTTTTCAAAATGAAATAGAGGATATTCCAGCTAAAACGGGCATGATGTTTTTTTTGCTTTAGCCTTATACCTCTGGTTGACCACATACAAGTCACTGCATTTCATTAATTCGAAACATTTATGATTTGTGATTATTGATACATTTACTTTGTATTAAGACTACAGTCCCCATTTGAACATGGTTAAAATTTGGAAAACATATCTCAGTTGGAAAGGCAATCATGACAGTTATGGAGTTCTAGTACTGTATTCACCAAAGAGATTTGTACTGCTACTGTTCCTCTCCTGGACAACCTATCATAATAAACCCCCTAAGTAATTTTTTCTCAACGAATCTCAGGTATCTGGACTTGAACCATCATTTTCAGGTGTAGAGTGGAGGAAAACAAACTGCAATATTCTTTTGGACAGCTTATCAGCAGTAGATGGATGTCCTTTATTGCAGCACACACTGTCATGCATGCGCCCCTGTTCAAAGTGTGGCTCAGTATCTATTGCCTTTTAGATTGCAAATTCTTGACAACCAAGATTATCACAGAGACCAATAGGATCGCAATAAATGGGTTTCTAATTAGGCTGTAACCTTGGCATCAAAACAGCCTGTGATTTAAAAAAAAATCAAATTCCTATAGGACCAATCGATGCCTTGTATGTTGTCGGCATATTGAATTTATTTCCTGCACCAGAAAATAAAATATGCTGCTACCAATAATTAAACAACACATGCTTTGTCCATGTAGATAACAGGTAGGAATCAGTAGTCTATTGGCAGTAATTTGCAGTAAACTGATATAAATGATGTAAAACAAAAGGTAGAAGGGTAGTTAATGGTCTGGGAGCAGAACCCAGCACTGCAATGTGGAGGACCTCCAAATGTTTATTGACCTACACTGCAATCGTATAACCACCCAGAACACCTTCTGAGTTTTCCACAGTTGAGCAGGACTCTGATGATACATAACAATGTAGTCCTCTCTAGTGTGAAGTTGTCTTACATTTCTAACAATGTTAGAACTATTGTTTTTCATATATTCTATCTTAGTCCTTTAGTTCTTCAACTCATCCTACGAGTTCTAATTACATATGAAGAACCTTAATTTGAGAGAAAAGAAACAAAAGCTTTTTCAATTTTTGCATAAAGACTCATTTTGGTACAGGATGCAATGAGTTATTGAATGAGTTACTTACATGTTGTAATGTGTTATGATTTACATGGGAGTCTGCGGATTTAAAATGTTATTTCCCATGAGCTACGATCCGTAGTGTCTCCCAGTAATTTCATCGATTTTTCAATGAAAGAGAAAAGTAAGCTTATGGGGGATAGAAATGTCACAGCATCTGGCAATACAGTTACCTTTCTACACACTCATGGATGTAAATCTGCCATTATTCATTTATATATATATATATTTTTTTGTGAAATTACAACTTATAATAAAGCTTTTTTTTAATTGGAAGTTCAAGTTTAGTAGCTGTGGTCACTTTTCTTTGTGGCACCCTCCAATTACTCTTAGATCAGTGGTTCCCAACCCTGGTCCTCAGGGACTCTACATGTTTTAGATATGTCATGTTAATCATCCATTCTTTTCTGGTGTGTTGCTACAAAGGAACACCTAAAACATACAGGACAGGGGTCCCTGAGGAACAGGATTTGGAGCAACTGTTGTCCTGTGGGCCAATACACAGATAAAACAAATATCTTCCCATTTTTCAATTTGATGTTGGCAAGTATCTTTATGTGAAATCTTTGAACACAAATCTTTAAAAATATAAAAAATGTGGTGTTATGTTTGAGCAAACCCCATCTCTGTTAGTTTTAGTAAAACGGTCTGTAGTGTTTTAAAATGTCAATAACTGTCATGATTTTTCTAAGGCTTGGTGGTGGAACAGAGAAACACAAAAGACAAGACAAACAGACAAACACAAAAACTGGGATCCTGACAATAACTAAATGTGGCCAGCAAAGAAAAACAGCAAAAAGTTCTACTCTGCTAATATTGTATTTTATATTTTGTTATAAAGTAACAACAGATACTGTATATACCTATATGCTTGAGAAATAATCATCTCAATTCTCAGCAAATCAGCCTTATCAATGTTTTACTGTCTGTTCAAATTCCATTCATTCCATGATTACCTTGAATATTCTCAGACTTTGCAGGCCCTGGACACCATGTCAGCAAGCAAAGACTGGTCCAAGACCAAGGTTTACCCTGACCTGTACATTCAAACAATGAGGCGAGCAATGGATAATCTTGTGAACATTTTCCAAAAAGAACAAACAACACTGACAAGCATGGGTAAAAATAATTTCTGTGCATATTTAGTTGTTTTCCACAAAAAAAAAAATGAAATTCTTTTACTGTAAACTGTGTTTATGTTTGACCCCTCTTAGAACTGACCAGAATGAAAGAATACAAAGGTCAGATAGTTTTAAGTTTACTTTTATTTATTGCTGTTTGCTAAATATTTTTGATAAGACCTTCTGTTTCATTTTTCACAGAATCAGTAACATTTGATGAATCCACTGCTGGGGTTGGCCTCATAATAACAGACTTTGGAAAACGACTTAAGTACTCAAAAACTGCAAGGTCATCAACACCGTCTTCGAACTCAAAAAGGTTTCGTCTGCCAATGGTTTTTGGGATGAATGGCTTCACCTCTGGCCGTCACTACTGGGAGGTCCAGGTGGGCCTGAGGAACGACTGGGATATTGGTGTGGCCCTGGAAACAATCGATAGGTCAGACGATGATGTGAGAAAAGACAAGGGATTTTATTCTATTGGAAAATCTGGTTTTGATTATGAGGTTAACGAAAAACCCCGTAAAGTTCTCCATCTTAGTCCCAGGCCAAGACACGTGGGGGTGTTTTTAGACTATGAGGCGGGTCGAGTGTCATTCTTTGATTTGAACAAGAAGTTGCATATTCATTCTTTCAACAAAGAGTCTTTCACAGGAAAGCTTTTCCCATATTTTTACCTGTACAGTGGTGCAAAGAGGTCTGAGCCTTTGGTTCTCCATTTTATGCAAGATCCAGGATACTTGCTGACTCTTATTCAACCTATTTGATGTGCTAAAAAAAGCAAAAAAACAACTGAATAAATCCTCTAGTGAGATTCTCAATTCATTTTCTGCAATAAGAGATTTAAAAATGCAAATACAGTAACAACGACAGTCCGTCATATTAGTTAAGATCAGTAGAAAGAGAACATTTTTTGTCTTACTGTACATATTTTTGGTTTGGTGCACTTTGGTGCTACCAGAGAAATTAGCTTTTGTGACATCCAGTCAACGTCCTACTGGTGGACATCAAATACGAAGTCTTCTTAATCAAACTGTTGGACAGAAACTAACATCATCACAGAATTAATCTCTTTGTTTCTTTGTTGTGATTTGTTTTAAATCATATTTTAATTTAATTGAAGCTGAATTTTAACAGAATTTTTAGCTTCTATTTGCATTACATAGCAGTAAATGTTGTTTTATAAAGTAGCTGCCATTCAAAATGGCCCTTCCAAGTCAAAAGCCAGCCCAATGGCAGCCGGATGGCAGTAAAATCCCCTCCAACTTCCAGCCACTAGCCTTCTCCTGGGCGTGCATATTTTTTTACTGTATTTTTTTTACAGGGTCTGACCAGGAGGTACTATTCTTTAGATCTTAATATCCACAAATCCTGACAGAAAGAATATTTTTGTACAAATTTTGAAGGTATGGTAGGGGACTAGCGTAGGACCAGCCAAGGGCTCATCAAGGAAAGTGGGTAAATTTTGAATGGCTGCTACTGAAAGGCTTTCTTTCCTGCTGGCCCCTGAACTGACTAAACTGAAAGAAAAAAATATGTACTTATAATGGTTTTAGATGTGAGGTTAAGCAAGTGCAGCATTAGGACCTACCCATTTTGCATGTTTTCAAAGCCCTGTGTTCAATTAGCTGGAGTTTATATTCAACACACCACAAATGTTTTTTAATAATTTTGCAATTTTCCACTCTATGGTAGAATATTATTGCATGTTTAATTTGAAATTTAGTTTGGATTTCTCTGACATTTGTTTTGTTAACTCAGGGAAAATGAAAAAAAGAAAGAACAACAAAAAAAAACAAAAAACAACAACCTTTACTTGAGTTTCGTTTCAGTCAACTGTTGTGACCTGACCACACCTACTGTGTGCCAGAAGCTGACTCTGCTGCTAACTTTTTGGTAGATCTGGTTCCTTGGCAAAGATGTAGTGCTAGTTCCTTATTGGTAGCTTCTATCCTGTAGGTCAGCGTATGTTAACATCCCTGGATTGACAGGATACAACAGAACAATCCAAACTGAGGTGAGTTTTTCAGAGTTTGTTTAGCATCATTAACATAATTTCATATGTCAGCGGCGATTTTAGATGGAAAGAATTGCACTGAAGCTGTTTTTCTTAAGTTTACGCTAACCGAACAATGTTTTGCCCTTATTGTGGTCTCTGGAACTTTTACGGGACACGGACCAGGTGGCAAGACCAAGCAGCAGGGCAGAGCTCAATTCGTGGCAGTGGCTGCGTTGCAGCAGTTCCGGTGGTCCTGCCACCTGGTCCGTGTCACGTAAAAGTTCCAGAGACCGTCCACACGAAGAACAAAATGGTGTGAATTGGCTGAAATTTGCTCCACAATAATAAAATCGCCGCTGACTTTTCATGTGAAGCAGGACTACAGATTGAGCTGTTTGTACTACAAGTCAGGGTAATCGTGACGTCACATCCGGCCACTGGGACATTCCCTTTCCGTGTAGCCGTCTTTTGTTAATTTGTTTTTGGCTATGTTACTGTGTTTTGCCGCATGCAGTTTTGTCTTTGCACTTGTACAAGTGTTTCCGAACGGTCATTTCCTTTTTAAAATGTAAATTTGTTTCCCTATAATGTATA